GCGCTGGCGCCAATGAGGCTGGAGAACCCCTTCACGCGGAGACCTTACCCGGACCTGTGCTTCCCCAACGGCAGCTACAACATGTCTGCGGCATGCTGGAAGTTTGTCACCGACGCGCAGGGTCCGTTCCACTCGGTCAAGAACAATGTGAGTAATGTGAGCAGCACGCGAACGTGGGGGGTACCATTCGTTAATGTTCGTACATGATGATCTGTCTTGCTTTCTGCGTTCGCTTCGCAGACTTACATGCCTATCCTCATGCGGCACTACCCGGGCGGGTCGTCCATCGGACAGCTGGTCCACTTCGGACAGCTCATCATACGCGGTAAGTTCTAGACACGACCCCCCTCAAAAGGATCACAAGAGAGGCCCTTCTTTTTCCATGTGGATCGTGAACCAACTCCTTCGGTTTCGGTCCAATAGGTGACGGCTTTTACAAATACGATTACGGCGTGGAGAGGAATTTGGAGTTGTATGGCACCGTCTACCCGCCGGCCTACAACCTGACCAACGTGCAGTCTCCCATGTTCATATTCTACTGCAAAAACGACTACCAGGCTCACTACAAGGTTTGTCTGGAGGTTTCCTAAGCCAGGTATTTTGGTTTTCAATTCTATCTACTACTTTACTTACTGTAGGATGTGAAGAAGCTGGCAGCTGACCTCCCAGGGCTGGCTGGGATCTTTTTGACGCCCGCTGAGACGTTCAACCATCTGGACATCATGTACGAAGAGGCTGCGGCTGATTTGGTGTACAGAAGACTGATTGACCAAATGACGAAATATAGATAGCTCATGAAAATAACCCCGGTCCCGCGTCGATTGATTTTCCCAATTTCTGAACGAAGGTCCCGCGTGCAACACCACCACACGCACAGCTCAGGGGCATTATTGACACGACCACTACATACACAATCTTCCACTCGCCAGAGCTTCTGCTTGTCGAGGTCACTGCTGTCACTACCATTGTCCCTCACGTCCACACATCGTTACATCGGTACCTCTGTCCCGCTATAGATTCAACAATAATGGGACGGCAATGGAACTGGACCGGTAATCGAGATCGAGACGCCGAGCACGAATTTAGTCTGGTGCTGAAAGCAAGGTTTCTTGTATTTATTTATTGGTATTATCGGCCTAATTTTGAATTGAACTCTTGTTTGTAGAACGCCGCAAGTTGACATGAGCTGGGTGTTGGTTTGGATGGGATGAGCAGGCGGCCTTAATACTTAGCCTTAGCATTTAAAATACCTTGTACTTTTGTGTGATAAACCATGGATAAACGAAAAGAGAAAGTAGATGTGTGAAGGTGATAGTTATCTCAAAATTGTGCGTGGTTTTGCAGGCAACACTGGAGGATATTGAAAATACTACAGGAGAAGAAACGATTAGCAGAAATAAAATTTAAACTATTGCAGGAGTTACTAGAAGTAAGAAACAGCATAGCGATGTGCACAAAACAAAAATTGGAGCTCTTATTCAGACAATCTGAACTGTTAGTTGAATTAACTGACGTTACGGACAGAAATTATGAACTAGGCCTAGAAGTATTGAATTTGAAGAAGACCACTACCAAAGTGCAAGAAGAGATAATGAAACTCAAGTTTAGAGAAGTACACCTACTTAGTCAAATCAACTCAGTGAATAAGCATTAACTGTGTCAGCAAAAATTGAGCAAGCTTTGGAAATGTGTAACAAGTAATAGGATCAAAATAAAGTAACAATATGGAAGATTCTTATAATTTAATGGAATTGCTGTTATAGTATCTTATGTACAATGAAATAAAACAACACTCATCCCATCATGTTAGTTCCACTTTAATGAACAAAAAAGAACACTAGCAAAAAATAAAAAAAAACAATTAAATAATGATGTAATTAAATGACATATAAAATATATAATGGAGAAAATCATGAGTTTACTTCATTTCTCAATTTGATACCAAGACATGAACTATAAAGAACAGCCATCTAAACACAAAAACCAGGTATGAATAGAAATGAGGACTACAAGAGGTCTGCTAAATGAGATTTGTACTTGAGAATATTGGCAAGTTAAGAATCTCAGTTTTACTTTTAAGATGACGAGGGCATCAAACAAGAATCAACATCATACTTGCCACTTGTCTAACTGATAAATGCAGCTCTTCAAAAATACCTCAAATGTTCTTTCTAATGAACCATTTAAGTAGATATCTCATAAAAATTGGCACTTGGAGTGTGTTCAGTTGGCCAAGTCTTTACTGCTTGTCAAATCGGTAACAATTCATTAACAGTTGATAACACAAAATAATCCAGAAACCTGAGATCGGGGCAGTGTGTAAGATTTACATACGTCTATAAATTATATTTATATATATATGATATCTTACAGAGGCAGCGCATCACTTACTATGTACAAGCACACTGATAATCTCTTCCACACTTTCTGTATGTTGATCATATTAAAATAAAATATATTATTTCGTGTCATTCAAAAAGTTGGCATGATCAACCAATCAAATAAAGTTTCTGGGAAGTGATGAACAATAACAAAACATTAAAATGTAATGCCACATCTTGATTGTTTCAAATGATTTACTTCATGGAACTTCAATCTCTAGCACAGAAAAACAAGAAAACAACGTTGAAATTGCACAGTAGGATCCTAACATTAAAGCCCACCTTAAATTATTATGCTGAGACTTTTTGATCAAATAAATATATAATCACGATTTCACACAATTATAACATAAAATAAAATGAAGAGAGGCAAAAAGAAGAAGACAGATATTGATGTTGGCTAGAAATGTATTTAGAACATAACTGCAGCATACATCCTACTTAATCAAATATTACATAAAGAATTGGAAATTTGTCTATACATATCATGGTTTCATTTGTGTCATGATGACACAGAAATTAATTAAAAGATCTCTTTGCTTACCACTAATATACAAAAGGTCTTGTTATGCAGCAATTTCATAGAGCACCATAGAAGTCAAATTAAAAACAAAATAATTCTTTAGACAATGATAAAGAGATTAGCAAGTGTCTTGTGAGCGTGCCATTCAAGAGTAACAAAAAAATATTAAGGAAACAACAAATCAGACAAATGGAGGCACTTTTTCATGTTTTCATGCTCTCACGGCCCTGTAAATTTGCTTTTAACATTCAAGGAATAGGACTAAAAGCAAAATTATAAGGAGTTAAAAGCCCATAATTAGTGCAACCACTGGTGTGGTTAGTTTGATCTTTTCCTGGCAATCAATCTTCATTATATTAAGAGGGAAGTTTCTAGTATGTGCAAAGAAGGAAGAGGCAAGCATTCTAGTAGAGTAGGTAAATCCTGAGCAGAACGTTCAAATCTTTTGTGTGTTTGACAATTAATGTGACACCAGGATGAGAGTATGAATTAGTATTACCTACTACTCATGAAGATAAATAAATTTTATGCTATTCAATAGGAATGATTTCATTAAAAATACAAACAGTTTCCAAATAAAAGCTTGTTAAAGCCACTGTCAAACAAAACTTATCAATAATGCAGTTAATTTTGGCAGAGAAGCCTTAGTCCATGATTTAACAGTTCTAAAATAATTTGCGAACTTCAGTGAGTGAGTAAAGCAGAAATATCAACCAAGAGTGCAGTCTTCAAATGATATGATATATGGTACATGTCAACTATAAGCAAGGCATTTTTGTCACACTTCACTAAAGCTTAGGAAAATCTCCAAGCTGGTGAAAAGATAACAAGAACTTAAAAAAATAAATAAAAGAATTGTGATAATTCAATATACAGATGTCTCTAGTAAAATCAAAACTTGAAAGCTGAAAGCTATATGATTTTTTTAGTACAGTTGGATTCTACATATGAAATAAGAGACCAGATTTCCTAAAAACCGGTCACATGAGATCACATACATAGTAGTGGTATCTTCTATGGCATGCAGCGACCTATACATTTCATCACACAGAAAGGTACATCAGCAATCCATTTTATCAATAAATACAATAGCTATTTTAAACAAGATTTAAAGAGACATAAAACACACTTACCATAAGGGCACACAAATAATACTTGTACAACATGGAAAAGTTAATTTCTTATTCTATGGTTATTTTAATTTTCCTAAGTGGACTTACTTCAGTCTCATCCACATGGGAAACACATGATCCATAACAAAGTAGCAATGCATTGTTCTCAATTGGTAAGTTAATGAGACTAGATCTTGATAAAAATCCTATTCAGCCAGTAGTTTTGATTCCCTTCAGGACAGTATTAGGTTCAATTGTAAGTAGCTGGGCTAAAGAAACACTGGATTTCACAGGCTATTTGTTATATGGGCCTAGCTACTTGAAAGTGGACCCTTTGAAAGTGATAATGCATAGGGACGGGTAATGAGCAAAAACTAATCAGCCATAAGAAATTTCAGTTGAACTGAGGAATAGAAACATTACCCACAAGTCATTAATTGGAATAATAAAGAATAAAAGTTAACGTTACTTTTGCTAAGCTATTACATTTGAGCAATGAATAAAAAGAAAAAAAGGGAAAAAATGGGGAAAACAAACACCACACATAAATGCCAACGTCTGCAGTGCTAAAACTGATCTCTGAGCAAGATCAAAGTCTCACTGTAATTAAAACAGAACGCTCATTGAAATGAGAAGAACATTTTTTCCACTGAATGCACTACTGAGAACATGTTGCAACAAAGTTGTTTAGCAGATGTTTCACCAGATGAGCTAGATAATCCAAACATAATAAAAATTGAGATGATAGGATGTACTATTGAAAAGAGAAGTATATAAATACTTCATGAAGCTGTGCGTTGACTGAGTTTAGTTCAGACAGACTTAGAATTTCATTTGGGGAAAAGTATTCTCTAAAACTCGATGCAACAGTTGACTTACAAAACTTAACATAAGTCTCACATATCAATTTCTCAGAATGACACTTAGGATAGAAACAGTCCAAATTTAAATACGTAAAATTGCCTTGAGAAGAGCATGGCATCACAAGAGGGCAATGTTTAAAAACAAAAAAGTCTAAATTGTTCGAGCCACAATAAGTGTGGGCATCGTTTGGCCTCACACATCAGTCTTCAAATGCCACATTATTTTTACATTCTTTGGATATTTGCCAATATCAACTATGTTATATTGAAGACTGGTTTCACCAAAGAAGACCTTCTTAATATATAGCGAGTATTTCTCACTTCAATTTGACCTTGCCATATTACTACCATACTTTGGTCATTAGATTTTGCCAATTACAAGGCAAGGAAAAAGTTGATTAAGACCCCTTTGTTTGGCATAACAGTCCCCATAAAAATTGTATCAAATTAAGACAGGAAGAAAAATGACAAGTGTTTAAAATGGACAACCAATTTCTACAACACACCATGCTCAATCACTTTAAAATACTTGAAAAATTGTATTAGCATATCATACATAAGGTATAAGAAATAAATTGTACTACATTTGAGAGGAAAGTACTTAAGTAATGTACTTAGGCATTGATCTACTAAAATAGCAATAATGATACAGTGCTGATATGCTGTAGCCTATTCAAGAGCACCTCACATTCCAATCATGGTAAGACATTAACGCCCTTATCTTCCAAAGAGAACAAGTACATAAATCAAGAAAAATTTGGAGGCCACCATGTTATAGCTACATGACAGGAAACCAAGAGCTCCACAAAACTACGCATATGTATATAGTTTATATAGTTATAAATATATGAAAAGAGAAGAATACGAGCCATTGAAAGCTGCCACTAATGATGGATCCAGCAGAGGAGTCTAAATGCGGCAATCTCCCATACCAGAGGAAAAACAGAGAGGATTAATGTTCAGCATATAGAATCAACATCAAAGCTAAATGAGTATTGCAAGAACATTAACTCTAAAATACACAACTAAGCAGGGAGGTATTGACAGGATCAGTACATGCAAGTTTTTCTCGCCAAGCAACTCTTACTGACAAAATGTCTTGCATTTAGTACTGTATTGCTAAAAACAACTAACTATAGGAAGTTAGAGCTGAGCACAAAAGAGAGTCCTCTCTAGATCTCATGGTTTCTGAGATTCAGAAATAAGACAGTGGCATCCTGATTGGATTACATTATTTTAACACCTGCACATGTTGATGCTGGTAGTACTATACAAATTGCCTAAACACACGGGGAAAATTTTGACCTTGTAACATAGGACATTAAGTACTCAATAGACGTGTATGACAGCTAGATTGATACCTCCTAACATTTGTGACAAAATCCAACTAATCATGTAACTGCTGATGAGGGAAGGTGGAAATATGTGCTCTTGACAAAAATTGGACCCACCACGATTGCTCTACAATGGGACTAAAAATTGAAGTTAACTAAGTCAAGTAACACAATCTCACTTCTCTCTCGAACACATTGGCTGGGGTTGGGATAGCGACTGCCATACAATAGAACTACGCACTCAGTACCCTCCTCATAGTCGCAAACTAGTTGTGCTGGACCACAGGAAGCCCTGTCACAAACTATCAGGAATCAGAATTATTGCACACACCACAGAAGTCTTTCTTACCTTACATCACATTTCATAAAATGCAGCAGGATCAACCTACAATCACAATTATGTCTAACAATCAAACATTACTCTGAATACTATAATGTTAAAGCCATTCACAGATTTTATCAAAATTCCTCATAGTTAATACCTTTGTAAAAGTATAAAATCACAGGAACAAAAGTGTCCCTATCACTTAATTTACTAATTTGTTTGCTCTCAAAGAGAGAGGCAAACATAGAAATTTTCTTTAAAATTGATTGTCTGTGAGCTTCTTTACCACTTGTTTCTGTAACTCCAAAGGAGATTCAATACTTCAAGTAAAATTAGGAAGTTCTCAACTTATAATGTGATACGAGTTGGCACATCGCATTCCGCCCTGCAGCCAATGTGCACCTTAATTACACTAAAATAGGGGATTTTAAAAAGATCTATTTAGACACAGAGGTTAAACCACTTTTGTCTCGACAGCCTGAAGACACCGCTTGGATAAGTCACCAGCAGGATCGTGAGTGGGTGTAGCTGCCCCATTTTCCTGAACACCTTGATTTGATGACTCATCATAACCAGAGTCAGAACTTGAATCACTGAAAGATTTTGCAGGATTGCTTGCAACAGCATTTGCTACAGCAATAACTTTCACTGATGCTAGAGGTTGAGGAGCAGGAAGGATGGGAAGTGCTGAGCGATGTGGAGACTGATGCGGTGAAGCCTCGGGTGAAGCTCCAGCTAAAACAGAAACAGGAAGAGGTGGAGGTGGCTGGAGTTCTACCTGCTCTTGAATTTGAAGCTCCTCGATGACTGGCTTATGCTCAATAATATCCATGGGGATCTCTTGTTCTTGAGGGACTACTTCTTCAACCACAACTTCTTGAACCTCTTGCTTTATCGGCATAGTTAAATGGCATGGTTTGTAAAACCTTGGATCTTTCACAATCTCTCCATTAGGTCCTTGAAAAATGATACCACAACAAATTTGTTTCCTATGAAAACAAAAAAAGCCAAATTAATACTGTAAATCAAAAAAAGACAGTTGCGCAAGATAAAGAAATGTTTCTAAATACCTTTTCCAAATTTTCATGTCAAGAAAACCGCTGATAGCAGGAGAACCACGATGTTTCAAACTAGATTTATGTTGTGGCGACCGGGATCTATTGCGCCTTTTCTTCACTGTCGGTATAGTGACCTCTCCATCTTCGCTAGGTGTTGGACTTGGAGCCAAACTTGGAGGTCCACTGAAGCCATTCTCCTCCATTTCCTCTGTATACAAAAGTATTTGATTAAATAAAAAAGTGGCAATGGTTTAATGACACTGAACAGGTTTTGAGAGAAGCAACACAAACCTCCATCACTAAATGTTGTTGGGCTACGGTCACGGTCTGCACTTTTCACGTACACATGCTTCTTCTTCACTGATTCAGCCTTCTTAGAGCCTTCAGCTTTAAGTTTCTTTTTCTTGTTCTTGGCTTTGAATTTAGTCAGAGACTTTGTGCCTGGTCCAGCACGAGCATCAACAACCTATAAGTGTAAACCAATAATTTAGAAAGCTCACCCGATGGGTAGTGCAGTATTAAAAAGTACAACTTGAAGAAATTTCTTACATGGCGCCAGTTGCGTTCACTGTCAGGAGGTAGCTTCTTCCAGCGTTTCACCAACAGAACACATGCGTTACAAATTTCACCTGAACGACGTTCCGGCAAACGGAAGCATTCCATGAAATCTTCCTCATATTTCTTGCTGTCTGTAAATCGGGAACTGAGAAAGGGAAAAAGACAGCCATTAACAATTGAACGTTACTATGACTGAGCCTGTCAGCACAATAAACATTAGGTGTGATGGAAATAATTTTAAAAATATACCTGCTGGACTTGGCTTTGCAAATGCAACAACCAGCTGATGACCGGTAAACCTTGGGTTTGTGAAAACTAAACATTTTGAATCCTTTATCCTTTTCTTCAGAAAAAAATCAACTGAAACAAAAGAAACCACAAAAAATATTAGTTTCAGTTTCAAAAATAATAACACACAAAACCCCACACAGAAAATGGCCTTATTTTAGATAGATATTAATTTAAAGAAACAATACAAGGTATCAGACAGAATAGTTTTGTAGCTGATAATAATGGAAGGATGTAAAATTCCTAACATTGATAACAAAGTGGAGTCCAATGACA